CACTGGCCTTGGAAATTATCTCACAGAAGCACTCCTGGAAAATGAGCACCTCTTGGGGGATCAGGAGAGATTCCTCCCCTGATGATACAGTTCCTGAGCCATTCCACTGGCCTGGGAGCCCAGCATTCAAATGGTGGTACTATCATCCCTTTCTACCCTGCAGCCATAGAAGATGCCAAGTGCAGACTCTTGGCTACACCAGTACAATCTGTATGTCAGGAGAGCATGGTTGAGATGGAACACCGCCCATTAATGCTTCACAGCCAACACCCCTGCCCCCCATGCTCCTCCTGGTCCCTCCCTGCTCCTCCTGGTCCCTCTCTGATCCTCCCCACAGCCTCTCTCCCCTTCTGACAGGACCCTTGGCCCACTCCTCCCTGCTAAGGTGTGAGCTGACACAGCTGAAAGCAATGCCTCCCCTCCCCCAAATACCAGTGTGTTATCACAGGACCTTTGATAAGAAAACAAACAGATCTCTACTGGTCCACTACAGTTTGGGGAGACATTTCTGTGCCCTGTATGTGTCTTTCTCTTCTGCCTTTCATACCACAAACCTTGGCTTTTGCACAATTCAAGCTCACAGCACCACATTGAGGTCACTGGAGTTCTTTGGGACTCCTAGTCTCTTTCGGGATGAGCTAGGCTAGGAGACATGGCCTTTTCTGCCTCTGCCTCCCATGCAGGAAGCATTTTTCCACTTGCCTCAGTTATCCAGCAACTCCTTTCTCCCCATCAATACTTGCTTTCACAGAAGGATCAGATACCCATTCACACTTGAATGTGACTAATAACAGATTAAAGCGCATTCTCTCAGATCAGCAGTTAAATCTTAAGGAAGGAGTTCCTATTGGAATTTCAGGTACCAGTTCGAGGAGGAGTGCTATGAGAGTAGTTTAGACTTTACTCTTAGAAGGAGAGAGAAGCATGTGACTCTTCTTTTCTCCAAAGCATTTCTATATACGTGAGATTCCCTTAACCGATAAAAGGAGTTTGTTTTATTTTAACTTCTATTTCTGAAGCCAAGGAGTGTGATTTCTCATAAAAACCCTGCTATACTAAAGCAAGGTGTGGTGTCACCATAGGGGACTTTACCTTCACTACCCAATGTCACTGCCTCCTTCCTAGCAGCCCGACAGCACAGCCTATGCTCAGCACCGTCTAATAAAGCCGCCTGCAGTGAGCAGCAACCCGAACCTGCCTCCTCCTTCTCACCTCTTAGTGACCCTGTGCTTCTCCTGGGAGTTCTCACTTCCTGAAAACAAATCAAAAAGGCCTTTATCAGACTCACCTCAGTTCAAGCACCAGCTTCACGGCTTATTTCACTGTGTGAATGTCTTCACTTGAGTTCCTCCAAAAGCAGAGCCTCCAAAAGGCAGGTTAAATCCTTTGCAATGTGATCTCGTGGCATAGGAGTGAAGGAGCGGGCAGAGAGATATAGTGGTATCTGCTGTGGGCAACAGGTTTCAACTCCACATGGACCAATGAGAAAGCACAGAACATCTTCCAGATATCTCCTCCTTAGGGCTGAAACTGCCAACACCAGCTCCTGTCCCTGAATGCGTTAACGCTGCGTCATGGACTCCCTGTGCACACAGCCAGGCGAGCCAGCCTTCCTGGAGTCAAACAAGCCACAGGACAAAAAGCAGACACTTTGTGGTGTGTGTCTGAGGTGAGTCTGAGCTCCATGGGAGCTGTCCACCTGTCCTGTGGCCGACATCTGAGGTGGGCTGAGGGGATGTGGCCACACTTAGGCCCGTCACTGAGCCTGTCTAAAATCTCAGGTTCTCCACAGGTAAAATGGGACTAAGAACTGCCCTGCCTCACAGAGCCATTAAGATCTTTAAAAGAGAGAATTTCCGAGAAGCACTTAGCACTGTGCCTGACCTGGAATAAAGGCTCTGCAAGTGGCAGCTGCTAGTCCCTTCCTCTGACTAGGACATCAGGGATCACCTGTGTTGCACTAAAATGCCCTGAGGGTCTATTCCGCACCCCATCTCCATCTCTAAGGCAGGACTCAGTTTGTGTGAGACTGATGTCACGCAAGTGATGGATCCTAAGGAAGCAACCTAGGTTCCAGGTGTAGAAAACTTGGCCAACAGTTCTACTTTATTTCCATAGGAAAGACAAACATTTCCAGAATCTGAGGCAGAGAGGGCTGTAGCTCCGGAGTGGCCCTGGGGTAAATCCTCTGCTTTTTTTTTTTTTTCAACAACCATTTTCTTCTGTGGTTTGTCACTGCCATTTAGAACTTAGGGTCTAAGAAGGGGCTCCCCAGAAGCTGGAAGAGCAAAACACACCTTCAAAAGAGGAATTGATTCATTCGCAATTCATTCATTTATTCAACGATCCTTCCTTGAGAAGTTTTTATGTGCCAAGCTCCCTGCCAGAGGTGGGGGCTTCCGAGATGAAACACTCTCCCTGAGCTGAAGGAGAAAACAGAAATCTGACAATAATGTCCATGCACTGTGATGAGTGCCATGATAGTGGCTGCCTGAGAGTGTGGGCTCTGGCAAAGGTGGCAGCTTGTGCAAAGACCTCACAGCAATAAAAATCACAGCACATGTCACGTGCAGAGCTAAAAGTCCTTCATCCAGCAGAAGCAAAGCTACTGAGGGCAAGTGATGGGTTAAAAAAGAAGAGTGGCTCACAAAAGAGGCAGGGGTCAGGATCCCAGGGGTTGTGCCCCACACAAAGGAATTTGGTCCTCACCCTGCAGCTAATGTAAGCTGTACAAAAGGACATATTCTATACCCCTCACTCCACCTCCTCACTGGTGTAAAAGCTGCAACTGCTACATCAATGGTGATGTTCTCATCTATATTATAAGTGAAGAGAGAACCAGAAGCAACCAATAAGCTTCTCTGTTGATTAACTTTTGGCCGCTGCTTAAACCACCACCAGCCACAGAGCCCTTTCTTCCCTGCCTTTTCTTATTAAAAATGGTCACATACTCTGACTCCTTTACAATTGCATTGATTGAGAAAGTTCATAGCATTGTTGTGGAGTCATCGGTACAATAAATATTGGACGGACAGATGGATGAAAGGAAGGATATACTGCATAATTTATTTTTAAAATACGTTTATTATTTATTGCATGTCTCCCCCACTAAAATGTAAGCTCTGTAGGGCTGTGATCTTTGTTTTGTTCGTGACTATACCCTAAGGCCCTAGAGTCTGACATAGAGTGATACCAATGAATTTATTGAATGAATGAACATATCGTATCTCTTTTATTGAGTGTTTTATCTGCTGTTTTCCCCCCACAATGAAGGAACTTGAGGAAAGTTGTGTCTTATTTATATTTGTGTTCTCTAGGGTGCCATGCCCAACACATGGTTTGCACTATGGAGCAAAAAATGCTTTGGTAATTGAATTATCTCATGACAAGGACCTATCCCTGGGAAGTCCACAGAGGGGGTACAAGTGAGAGGCTTCAGCGAGGTTGAAAGCCTTGTCTTAGGTCCTCCCATGGGCCAGTTAGGACAAGACATGGACAGCAACACAAGAGAGAGATGTCTGCAGGGTCCTGGGTGACTTGAAGGCCATTATTTCTCCTCAACTTTGCTGAGCTTTAGACATGTCCACACAGAAGGATGGTGCCTCTGAATATGACTCAGGACAATAGAAAAGGCCTTCACCAAGAGGAGCCAACCCCAAGAGGAACTTCATTACCAACAACTCTCTTCTGTCTAAATTAGATATTCTCAACCTGGAATTATACAAGGACTGACAATTAGGTTTGCGAACTCACTCTAGAAAAAGTGCTACATATCTGATTGCAGAGTATCACTACAATCACCTTCGTAAAACTCCCCTTAGGAAGCTATGCACCAACACCAACACCTAGTGCCCCCTTCAAAGCAATTTTGGAACTCTTTTTCTGGAATGGGCATCAGTGTTGTCATTGTATTACACTTCATGTCCTGAATGTCATCAAAATGTCTTCCTTTCAGTATTTCCTTTATCTTCGGGTAAAGAAAGAAGTCATTGGGGCCCAAATCAGGTAGGGAGGGAGGGTGTTCCAATACAGTTATTTGTTTCCTGGCTAAAAACTCCCTCACAGACAGTGCCATGTGAGCTGGTGCATTTTCATGATGCAAGAGCCATGAATTGTTGGTGAAAAGTTCAGGTCATCTAACTTTTTCATGCAGCCTTTTCAGCAATTCCAAATAGTAAACTTGGTTAACTGTTTGTCCAGTTGGTACATATTCATAATGAATAATACTTCTGATATCAAAAAAGGTTAGCAACATCATTGCAACAAGTTCGTGAACTTAATTGTATGACCTCCTACAAAAGATTTGGTGTGTCTTTTTTCTTCAAGTGCTCAAAGGTCGGTGTGGCCCAGAAAACATTAAGAACCACTAATCCAGATAACCCCAGGGGAAACCCCAGAATCTCCACCATCACTCCCTCCAGCCTTGCTCAGCTTCCACCAGCCCCATTTCAGAGAACAGAGCAGAGCCTGTTGTGAACGCTCACTCTCAAAGTGGGTCTGCGCAGGCTCAGGGCAGCAACAGATAAAAGAGGCCTGTCCTCAGCCTTGTTACCTTTGGCTCCACCTTTATTAAAACTTCACACACTTGAGAATAAATTGGGGATCATTTAGGGAAAAAAGGATTAAAGCACAGAGGACAGAGAGAAGGAGCCAGAACCCTTGAGGGGCCTGAGCCTCTAGTCTTGCCCTTTATGGTTCCTCCAAAGCACCAGCCCTATGAACTCCTTCAGCTCCACTGCCCAAAACCAAGAACCCTATGTTGGTTGGATCAGAGTGGCCCAATCTACTCCAGTCATGCTTAGGGTCCCAAAGATGATTACTGAGAGTTCTCCCTCAAGCCTGGCATAAGTGAACCTCCGTACTGCTAGATTGGAACAGCTTTGAATTCTGTCCCAGACCTCAATGATCTCCCTATCCCACCCACCCACAGGCTCCTAGGCCCATACCCACAGCTCTGTAGACCCTGAGCCCCATCAGAGCCGAGGGGAGAAGCCAGCCACCACGATGTTCTCGCCGGTGATGTAGCTGGCATCTGGAGAGCACAGGAAGGACACGAGACCTGCACAGTCCTCAGGCTGCCCGATCCTGGATGGAAGGAGCACAGAACACAGCGTCAGCGATCTCAGATTCTGGATCTGCTGCTCTGGGGTTAACAGGTCACACAGGTGGGACTGGGCTCCAGGAGGGCACAGGGTGAATACAGCAGGACCACTTGCACCCTTCAGGGCTGTGTGGAACCCAGAATTGAGAGAAAGGAATGGCCAATACACAGGAAGAGGTCTGCTCTTGGGTTAGATTCAGTCGACCCTCTACAACTATACCCAGACCACCAAAGCACCAAACCCCACTTGCCTCTGCAGCTGATAGTTTTCTTTGATTTTGTTCCAGGAAGCCTCATCCTTATGGAACTAAGAAAAAGGAAGAGATGAAAGAGTCAGTGTTGCTAAGACAAAAAGGTGGGAGGACCCCAATGAAGTGACCTTACAGAACACGTATGGCAGCTCTGCCCTTCTCAGTGTTGATGGATTGGGTCATGGCTGAGTTCAGAGAACAGTGAGGACTGCAACTATAAGGGTGCTTATCCCCTTTCTCCCATAGTCTTTAGGACGCTTCTCCATGGAGCCAGAATAGGGAACAGGGGACATGCCCCAGTGCTCACCACTTTGCTGAAGTCAGTTTCAATTAATCCCGGAACCAGGCAGTTCACCCGGATGCCCTTGGGGGCCAGTTCCAATGCCAGCGTCCTGGTGAGGCCAAGCAGGGCTGTCTTACTGACATTGTAGGCACCCAGCTCCTGGCATAGAATTAAGAGTGATTAGGAGGATACGGGTGTGAAAGAAAGCATCAGCTGGATTTCTCACCTACAGAAGATCACACCTGGCCCAAGCCCAGAGCTCAGACACACCCTTAGCCTGGTCTGAGAACAGAAACTGGGTGTGAGGGACCCAGTAGCCACATGGACCC